ATTCACACACAAAAAGAGACTGTCCAACTCTATCTTGAGTAGATTTACACTGATTACTTCCTCTGACTTCAGCAATTTGTTCAATATGCCGACTAGCTTTAGAAAAAAGAAATTCTGAGCAATTTGCACAATTGCTAGTCATCTCCTCCATGTCAGTCTGAGACATCTTATTTTCAAAACAATCTCTTAAAACAGCATTTTTACTAGCATTGGTCCATTCCTTTTATCTTAGGAATCTAGCAAGCATGAAATTATTTTTTTTGCATTCAAGATGTACTGTAAAATACCTACATTTACAGACATCTTTTATAAAAAGTCTTCGCATATGGAGAACTTCTCAGACATCCATTTTCTGACATTATCTAACTCAAAGATGCCAATTTCTCTTAATAATGCTTAATCACTCTTGATTGACCTTTGCTTGGATAACTTAAGTCTAAACAGGATCACAAAGATTTGATATAAACAGTGTAAACGGAGCTAAAGTTGCTTGCTTTAATGTAGTGATTAAAAAAGAGAGGCCTCCAGCTACTCAGGTAGCTACCTTATTCAAAGTCTTTCCACGTGGCTTTAGTCACTGAAACGGATGTATTTATTTTGGGTCGGAATCTGTCTGCACTACTTCAGCTGCAGTTCATTTCTATTTCTTTACCTGACCCACTCCTCATCCAAGCCTGAACTTTTGATTATACCATAGAAGCTCAAGGAAATAATAAGAGTTACATACTAACTAAAGCCAATAGGAAAAAGTCCCAAAGGATTAGAAAAATCTAGCCACAGGTGATTTTTGCTATTTTATTTAAAACTAGCACGATTGCACAATTGACAATCGTTTATCGACACCCAACTGTCATCAATAAGAAGCAAGGATATTTTATTATAGACCTACAAGTGCCCTCACATCCTAGCAGATCAAAATTTGAAATTAAGTATGACTATTAACATCACCTCAGCTGCAAAGAAAAGCCAGCAACTCCAGTTTAAGGGACTCTGCCAATTTCAAAATTACAAATTATGCCTGAAAATATTTTTAAAACTTACTACACCTAAAATTAGTGTATTTTCAGCTTATTTACTTTGAGAATTTTACAACACTTTGAGTACAGTTATTTTTACCATTTCCCCTGCATAGCCAGGCTGTTAGCCATTTGCATGGGTCTTTCACACAACAATAGGAGAAAGAAGAACATGTAATAAACAGGTGCTGGTGTTAGTATCACTAGTGCTAATAATAATAAATGCCCTTTCATGTCTATAGAACTTTCCACCAGAAAAATCTCAAAGCACTTTACAAACATTCATCAATCAATACCCTTATGAGGTAGATGTCACCATTTTATAGATGGGGAAAGTGAGGCACAAAGGTGCAGTGACTTGCCCAAGATCACACAGTAAGCTGTGGTAAGGCTGGGAACAGAATTCAGATCTCCTGAGTCCCAATCCCGTGCTTTGTCTACAAGATCATCCTTCTTCTTTCATTACTTATAGTACCCAGAAAAGTTCATTTATCGTCCAGAACCTCAAGAGCTGTCATTTAAAGATCCCATAGAAAAGAAGAGAAAACAAAAAACAAATCCCTTCACATTACAGACCTGTATGAAAAAATAAATTGGAGAGAGACAGCAAAAGGAATCCAGACTAGTTAATGAGGACAAGTAAGCAATTTATCTTTCCTATGCCCTCAAATACTGGCCAGATGGGATATGTTTGAGATCACAAAGAAGGAGCAGTGGCTGACAAGATTTGGAGCAAGTATGCAGAAGTAGATTTCAGGTAGTTAACATGAATCCAGAAGTGTCAAAAATTAAGATTATTACTATCTGATGTCTCCTCATTGAGGTAATTGGTAGAGACTGGTCCAGACTGGTGAATCTGATGGCATGTTATAATACCAAGACACACAGGTTATACACTATATTTGTGTTACCTTCTAATGCTCCAAAGATTGCTAGAGTCTATAACATAGATATTAAAATCAAGATTTAAATGTGATAGTACCTGATATTTAGAAATGTTAAAGACTGTAGGTTCAGGATGGCCTCTGGGATGTAACGAATGCAGTTCTGGTACAAGTTAAGGCTCTCAAGGGAAACAAAGTGACACACTTCTGCAGGAAGTTCCGAGAGTCTGTTCCGTGACAAATCTGAAGGGAGGGGGAAAAAAAGAAAAGAAGAGAGAAACAATCATCAAATGACCTTTGACTGCATTCTTTGGGTCAGGGATTGTGTCTTCGTATGTATGGACAGTACTTTGTACATTGTGGGTGTTATAAATATAAAATAATAATGGTCACCAGCATCAAGTCTATAAAAGGTGAGTTATGTCAAATCATGTAGTTATAGTTTTTGGGTTTGTTTGTTTGTTTGTTTTTAAAGGGTGAAAGGAAAATCTTGTGTCTATAAAGACCAAAGGACAAAGCCCAGAACATATGGCTTCCTTACACACCCTAACTCTTAACAATAATGTATATGTACTACCAAAGACAAGAGAGGTTGTTTGGTGTCAATCCTAATTTCCTTTAGAGAAGCTGCCTGTTTAACAAACTGCGTGACATTTCACATCTTCAATGTCCAAACAAGGGCAAACATTTACCAAAGCAGAACTCTCTAGTCAACCCGAACTATTATTGTGCATGATAAAAAACAAATTTAATAACATTTTATTTATTCATTGTGAATTATAAAACATGCCCATCCTAGTCACATTAGAGTTAAAAGAACATACACAAAGCTTACAAGGTAAACTGAACAACAGCAACTTTTTTATCCACATTAGGATCAACAGTTTCTATTTCTTTAACCTTCACAGAACCCACCCAACAATGCAGTCTGTTCTTGAAAGCCTGGCAAATCAAAAAGGCCTTGCAATGTGTCATGAAGGTCACTTTCAAAGTAGAGGGTCCCCTCTTACTGAAAATGCCCTGCCATTGGATTCTTCCTGGCTGAACCAGGAGGTTGTTGAGCCTGAGTGCCTCTGCTTATCTCAACTGTGCATATCTTATGATGAGAGATGGTTTCTAAGGTACACAGGACTCAACTAATTAGAGTTTTATACGTCTAAACTATCACTTAGAATTATACCCAGAAAAACTGGAAGCCAATTCAGGTCATAGAGTACAGGAGTAAAGTGCCCTCTCTTCCCCTACCTCCGAAGGAAGCACTGCTATTTAAGTGGGTCATTACATTCTGTGCAAGCTGAAGTTTTAGAATGGTCTTCAGGTATAATGTCATGTAGAGTGCATTACAGTAATCCAATCTCAAGGTATAATTATGGCTAACTGTAGCAAAGGCCACAATGGATATAAATGTTGCAGCCTTCATGATGTGCGGATGGGAGAAAAAGAAAAGTCATGGCAAATCTGCTACCTGGATATACTATTAAAACACCAAGGCTGTGAATTTAAGTGACAAATAGCAGACACACACTCACATAATCAAAGGAGACTGAAGAACTGCTACCCTTTCTTTTGGCTGCTTCCCACAGTCTAAAAGGATAACGTTAGTGTAAACTAGGTTGAATATCAGAGAGCTAGGATATCAGTCATATTAAATCCTAATCTTGATTAGACATTGAGTGAATCACTCAAATACACATCCTGGTCCAATAAAACTGAAACAAAGCTAGGGGTATCTCACACACACACCAAACGCAGCAGACACCCCACAAACCTCTCCCTAACAGCTTCTCATTGGGCAGCTGGGGAAACAAACTAGAACCCTGAAGAAGCTTGCAAATGAATCTTTGGGATAAACAAGTCAGGAAAGATAGGAGTCACAAATTAGCAACTCCATCCATTCCTGCAGGCATGTCAATGACACTTTGTCTTCAATTGTATCAAAATATGCTGATAGATCTAAAATAATCTGCAAGGACATCTGGTTATCCATTATGAGAAAGATCAACCAGCAAGGCAACCAGTGCACTGTTTGCATCATATACAGGACTAAAGGTAGATTGATTGCGGTTTACGAAACTGGAAGACTCCAGCTACTGTGAGAATTACTACTATAAAACTTTATCAA